ACCGAAATGTACAGGAAATAAATAATCTGTATCAGCTACATCAGGGGTGTTAAACTCAAGGCCTGGGGGCCAGATCCGACTAGTGGGGTGCTTAGATCTGGCTCGCGGGGCTGCCCTGGAAACAGCAAAGGACTGACCCGCGGTGCCTCAGCCAGTGAAAACGGAGCTTGTGAGGGCCACAGGCGGCCCTCCTGAGCTCTATTTTCACTGGCAGAGGGTTGCAGGAGGCCATTGCAGGTGAAAACGGAGCTGGGGAGCCCATTTTCGCTGGCAGAGCGCTCGGGCCCCCACAGGCGCCCCCGAAACGAGTGAGGTTGATCTGGCCATGCTCCCCCTGGCCCCCTGAGGTCAAACACAACCCTGATGCGGCCCTCAGTGAAATCGAGTTTGACACCCCTGAGCTACAGAGTTGGGTTTGGGAAAGTGTCTGCAGGCCAGGAGAGCTCTTGGACCATAGCTTCACCTTGAAAGTTCCCTAGTCTTATTTTAGCTGATGATGGGCAGCCTTGTCTCCCGAGTTTTTTTTTTTTTTTTGAAGTGGCTGGTTGGTGTATCAGATGGTCTCATTTTCTGCGATCAGATTCTTTTTTGTGTGTGTGATCAGATTCGGCTGAATAGGTTGTAAAAAAAATGCTTTTAAAAGTAAAAAAAAAAAGATCGTGCGCCACAGCTGATCACAGCCCCCGCGCGCTGTTCTACTTACCCCATGCCTCCTTTTGGTGTGCACTGTGCGCGCACCTTGCACTTGGTGTGTGGTGCACAGTGTGCATACGCACATGCAGCACACATGCGCAGTCAATGAACCGATGGTAAACCGGTTCAGTTTTCATCACTGTCTTTGACCTTAGAATGGTTTACTAGAATGGCTTCCTGGAACCGATGTAGGAATCTTGGCATATCAACTCTCTGAGGTTCAGCTCAATCCCTAAACCAAATTACAGTCCTAGCTTTTCTTTTGCCAACTTCCTGTCTAGCTGATGGCAATCTAGCAACTGGAAGCAGGACAACTCAGCTTTGACTGGTTTCTCCTAGCAAAGATAGGGAACCACCATCATCATGGTGGTCAGATTGGGCTAGGCCCGTGATGGCGAACCTATGGCACACGTGCCACAGGTGGCACGCAGAGCCATATGTGGGCATGCAAGCGTTGCCCTAGCTCAGCTCCAGTGCACATGCGCATGCCAGCCAACTGATTTTTGGGCCTTCCAGGCCCACCGGAAGTCAGGAAATGGGCTGTTTCTGATGTCAGCACTTCAAGCTGCATTTACTCTAGTGCTGACATAAGAAGGAGAAGCGGACGCGTCTGGAAAGGGACGTTTGACTTTTCACCTACTTATTTTCCCTGGAGATAATATCCCCTAGGAGATGGGATGGGAGGGGAAAAATTCCTTTGAGCTGGAGCAGTAGATTAGGGGGAGAGTGACTTGGAAGATGGCCAATGAGTGCAGGGGAGTGGGGAACAGAAAGGAAGGGTTTTGGGTCTGGAAGTCAGTGTTGGCTACGATGAGTCGGATTTAGAATGTCATGCTCAATAAATGGGAGTTTTTATCAAAGACTTCGTTTGAAATGCAATTTATTTGAGACGACCTCAAAACTTGACATCTGGCTTCTGGAGGCCCTCCCGGGGGGTGGGGGGGAGCCCATTTTCACCCTCCCCAGGCTCCAGAGGGCGAAAAACAGGCCTACCAGGTCCACCGTGCCATTGCGTACCAAAAGCGGGGACAGTGGGGTGTGTGTGTGTCACACACGCATGTGCGGGGGCTTTGAATTATGGGTGTGGGCACACACACGCACAACCCCCCGTGCTCCCCCCATTTTTGGTACGCGACGGCAAAAGGTTAGCCATCACTGGGCTAGGCCTTGGGGCAAGAATGGAGAAGTCCTGCTGAAATCCCGAGGCGTTCCTAGCTTCAGAAAACTGTTGCCTCCAATGAGGTAGATGGAGGTACGTGCGTCTTGTGAAAGTTTTAAGGACAATTGTTACTTTCCTCCTTATTCCCCAATATGCCTACTGCAATAGAACAGCAGAAAATGAGTAATTAAAAAGGTCAATTGCTGTGGCTGTTTAATGATGACTCTGAGATAATTACTTGGTGATGTTAGACTGGCTTTTTAACATCATTAATTTGCAGACTGGTGGCAATAACAGTTTCCAGCTGAATGCTCTGACTTTCCCAGCTCTTGCTGTCACCTTCATGATTTATCCCAGTTTCGCACTGTACCTTTTCCTTAACTTAAAATCATAAAAGCTCCTTGGTTTTATATAAGCATGCACGAAGGGAAGGAGAGGCACTACTGCTCTTTATGCTGGTTCCTGTTTTTAAGATTGGAAGTCGTCCGTAGCAAAAGAAAGAAGCTTTTCTTCATTGTGTTTGAAAATGCCTAATTGTGTGTTGTGGCGCTGTGTGCTGTATTTCTTACTCATGCCAACTTAAGAGGGCCTGCTTTTTGTTTGTCTCCATTTGTGGGCGTGGATTCCTCTGCCAAAATGCTCCAGTTTGTTTGGATTCTGCTAATTCTGTTTTACAGATGCTGTGTTGTTAAAACTTTTGGATCTCTGGAAAACATAAAATAGATCTCTTTCTCCCTTTGTTTTTTTTTTTTAAATAATCCAGGAGCGTGCAATTGAGTCAGATTTCTGTGCAAAAGGCAGCCTCTCCTTCCTGGTTCTGCTGGCAAGAGAGATCTGTTATCATTTGACATTTCAGTTGGCCAGGTCTCATCAATGCTATGGATGGAGGCTTCTCCAGGTTACACAGGATCTGTTTCTGATCAGCAAATCCTGCCCTGCCCCCACAACCTATACTAGATTAGATCTAGTATAGACAGTGGTGGGCTGCTCCCGGTTATGTCCGGTTCTTTAGAACCGGTAGTAAAAGCGGCGGGAGGCTCCGTCCACCCACCCGGACGTCATAATTGACGATCTGCACATGCGCAGAAGCTTCTGCGCATGCACAGAAGCGCATGCACCAGTGGTGAGTTGCCCCCGGTTTGCACCGGTTCTATAGAACCGGTAGTAAAACCGACGGGAGGCCCCGCCCACTGACCCTGATGTCATGAAGACGCTTCTGCGCATGCGGCCCCGTTGCGAACCGGTAGTAAAGGTAAATAGAACCCACCCCTGAGTATAGAGCAGGGGTCTCCAACCTTGGCAATTTTAAGACTTGTGGACTTCAACTCCCAGAATTCCTCAGCCAGCTTTGCCACAAAAGCCCACAAATTTTAAAGTTGCCAAGGTTGGAGACTCCTGGTATAGAGTACTGGTAAATTGTGCAGCAGTTTGTAAAATGTGATGGAAATTGACTGCTGATAAAAGATAAATAGATCCAACAAAAGCTCAGCTTATTTAACTATACTATGGTGTTTCTATATAATCTGTATTTCTGTTTGATTTTGTTTATGTCTTCTTGTTATTGCCTATTAGCACAGTATAATGTTTTATTATAGCAATAGCACTTAGAGCTTCTTCGTTACAACCTTGTGCTTTACACCCTTCTCTAAGCGGTTTACAGAGTCAGCCTATTGCCCCCAAAATCTGGGTCCTCATTTTATTGACCTCAGAAGGATAGCAATAGCACTTAGACTTATATACCACTTTACAGTGTTTTCCAGCCCTCTCTAAGTGGTTTACAGCATCAACTTATTGCCCAGAGGTGGGTTTCAGCAGGTTCTGACCAGTTCTGGAGAACTGGTAGCGGAAATTTTGAGTAGTTCGGAGAACCGGTAGCGGAAATTTTGAGTAGTTCGGAGAACCGGTAAATACCACCTACCGCCCCCATCTATCCTCTGCCTCCCGAGTCCCAGCTGATCAGGAGGAAATGGGGATTTTGCAGTAATTTTTATACTCACAATAACATGCTCATCTTTTACATATTCATCTATATAGTTTTAATACTGATGTCAATCTCAATCTATTTGGTAGCTTTTAAAATAGATTTAATTTTAAAGGATATTAGAATTTGGCATTATAAATGCAATCTCTTTATTATCTTACTGATCTTTTTCATATGGAGATGGTAACGTTTGGAAGAATTTCCGGTGCTTGAAATAAAATACAGATAGAATTTGGGAAACTCTGCATGGATTAACACTTTCCCAAATATATAAAATAAACAAAACATCAAAATATTGTTTTAAAAGGCACTGTGTGAACTAACAAAAAATGATAAAATGGTAATATTCTTTCATCCCTATTAGGAGTTTTAAGCAGAGTGTGTTTGTGTGTTTGTGGGAATTAGGCAGTGATGGGTTTCAAATTTTTTTACTACCGGTTCTGTGGGTGTGGGTTGGTGGGCGTGGCATGGCTTGGTGGGGGTGGCAGGGGAAGGATACTGTAAAATCTCCACTCCCACCCCACTCCAAGGAAAGGATACAGTAAAATCTCCATTCTTTCCCCACTCCGGGGGTGGTTACTGCAAAATACACATTCCCTCCCGATCAGCTGGGAATCGGGAGGCAGAGAATAGATGGGGGCAGGGCCAGTCAGAGGTGGTATTTACCGGTTCTCCGAACTACTCAAAATTTCCGCTACTGGTTCTCCAGAACTGGTCATAACCTGCTGAAACCCACCTCTGGAATTAGGCCAATGTTTCTCAACCTTAGCAACTTTTAAGACGTATGAAGAATATATGTCATAAATCACCTCCTGTTTGGGAGCAGGTGTTAAATTGAAGTGAATAAAGCTTGCAAAGCATTTTAGAAGAAAAGTGCTTCACCACCAGGCTGATGAAAGATTTTAGTTTTGAGAAATTAATCATGATTCCCATCTATTTGGTATTTTAGAACCTATCTTCTTGAAGCTTAATGGACTGTTCACCACTGCCCTGCAATTGGAAAACATCCAACGAATGTGTGTAAAACTCCTTGAACTTTGGATTTCTGATTCCGACCTTCTGGTAGTGCTTTGGCTTGGTTGATGATTGCACTTGGCAAAAGCAGGACAGCACATGATGTGGGATGGAAATCCATGTTTGAAATGCAACACTAAACTTAAGGCCAACTTTCAGCTTATAAAGAGCAAATTAATTTTATTTTATTATCACCATAGGTAAACTGTTCTAATACAGTATGGGTTTTATTAACATATGCAAATATTGTAGGCAATATGAAAAATTTAGACAGTTATTATCTATCAAATATCAATCTATTCCTTGCAGAGAGTCAAAAAAAAACAACACATCAGTTACGACATACACAAACTAGAAGCATAAAACTGCTCATTAAAAACACACAATTCCCAAAGGGAAATAAACCCTTACAAAGTACAGTGAGTCATACAAACCATGATCTAATACAAATTCCTTCATAAACACAAGCTTTTCACAAAGGTCTCGGACAATGTTCACAATTAAAAGTAGATTGTTGGTTTATTTTAAACCTATAGTTTCTAAAGTGTTAATTTGGAAGAAAACCCAGTGGATATGTACAGAAAACAACTTGTCTCTATGAACATTTGCTAGATAAATTTTATTTGCTGAAAATGTTACTTAAGATTGAATTGCAGTATTGTATTGCCCCACAAATCTGTCTCTGTAACACGATTAAACTTAACGGTCAGGTCTCTATTCCTCACACTAAAATAAATCAAAATATATTCCAGGCAATTTCAATTCTGTGATTTGCACAATTTAAATAAACTCTTTTGATTTGTTATTATTGTTTTACCCAATTTATGCTGATATTCCTGCTTGTGGGATATGTCTGTGATCTACACTTTAAACATTCTTCTAACACAGGTCTCTTGATGTCATCTGCACCATTGGACATTATATAACTCATGTCATTTGTGTGATATTGTCATAACATGCCCATCCCTCACAATGCCTAGGGGTTCTACTATTTCAGCAGTTGCACTCAAATTACTCATTTCTCACATTTTTAAATTTCTGCCTCCTGCAAAAAACTATCAATGAAATATAAGGAAATGTCCTATTTATGCTGCTGAATGGGACAAAGGATTTACAAGATTTGGCACACAATATTCAGACTATCCCCCTTCGTGGATCACCGCCTTGTTGTGATGAAGGGGCTTGTGCAGTTCAAAGATATGAGTTAAGTTGTTCAGGGCCACCCAAGACAGACAAGTCATAGTGGAGAGTTTTGACAAAACCTGGTCTGCTGGAGAAAGAAATGGCAACCTACTCCAGTATCCCTCACCAAGAAAACCCCATGGACAGTACCAAAAGGCAAAAAGATAAGACACTGGAAAATGAGCCCCTCAGATTGAAAGGTATCCAATAAGATTGCTGAAATATCAACAACCTCAGATATGCAGGTGATATCACTCTAATGGGACAAAGTGAAGAGAACTAAGAGGAGAGTGCAAAAGTTGGCTTGAAACTCAACATTAAAAAAAACTAAGATCATGGCATCCGGTCCCATCACTTCCTGGCAAATAGAAGGGAAAGAAATGGAAGCAGTGACAGATTTTCTCTCTACATGGGGCTCCCCTTGAGGAGCACCCGGAGGCTCCAACTGGCGCAGAGTGCGGCCGCGCGGGTGGTAATGGGAGCGACATGGCGTTCCCATGTAACACCCCTCCTGCGCGAGCTGCACTGGCTCCCGGTGGTCTTCCGGGTGCGCTTCAAGGTTCTGGTTACCACCTTTAAAGCGCTCCATGGCTTAGGACCTGGGTACTTGCGGGACCGCCTACTACCACCAATAGCCTCCCACCGGCCGGTACGCTCCCATAGAGAGGGGCTCCTCCGGGTGCCATCAGCCAAACAATGCCGACTGGCGGCCCCCAGGGGGAGAGCCTTCTCTGTGGGGGCACCTACTATCTGGAACGAGCTCCCCCCAGAGATACGGGGGATCCCGGATCTGCGCACCTTCCGCCGCGCCTTAAAGACCTTACTATTTCACCAGGCCGGCCTGGCCTAATTTTCCCCCTCTTTTATAAAAGATTTTTAAAATTTTAAATATCTTTTAGTATTTTATATATTCAATTTTAAATTGGTTTTAAAAGTTTGGGGTTTTAAATTTGTCGGGGCTAAAATTATTTAATTTGATTTTATTCTATTTTTAAATTTTGTATGTATGTGTTTTTATTGTTTGGCTGTGCACCGCCTTGAGTCCTTCGGGAGTAGGGCGGTATAGAAATCTAATAAAATAAAAATAAAAATAATAAAATTTTATTTTCTTGGGTTCCAAGATCACTGTGGATAGTGACTGCAGCCATGAAATTAAATGACACTTGCTTCTTGGGATGAAAGCTATCTGAAGTTCTCCGAAGACGTCTCCATGGTCATGTGGCCAGCATGGCTAAACGCCAAAGGCGCACGGAATGCTGTTACCTTCCCACAAAAGGTGATCCCTATTTTTCTACTTGCATTTTTTACATGCTTTTGAACTGCTAGGTTGGCAGAAGCTGGGACAAGTAACGGGAGCTCACCCCATTACACGGTGCTAGGGATTTGAACCGCTGAACTGCCGACCTTTTGATCGACAAGCTCAGAGTCTTAGCCATTGAGCCACTGGGTCCTCCTGACAAAGGTCCATACTGAGTGTCAAAGCTATGGTTTTCCCAGTAGTAACGTATGGCTGTGAGAGTTGGATCATAAGGAAAGCTGAGCGCCAAAGACTTGATGCTTTCTAATTGTGGTGTTAGAGAAGACTTTTTGAGAGCCCCTTGGACTGCAAGAAGATCAAATCAATCCAAAAGGAAATCAATCCTGACTATTCTTTGGAAGAACAGATACTGAAGCTGAAGCTCCAATGAGAAGAAAGGACTCATTGTAAAAGATCCTAATGCTGGGGAAAGATTGAAGGCAAAAGGAGAAGGGGACGGTAGAGGATGAGATGGTTAGATAGTGTCATCGACACAATGAACATGAATTTGGGCAAATTCCAGGAGACAATGGAGGACAGAGAGGCCTGGCATGTTATGGTCCATGGGGTTGTGAAGAGTCATACATGATTTAGGGACTGAACAATGTCAACTCTGAAGTGCAGGAGTTGGTTTAGAAATCTGTGGCGGTATTTGTTCTTACATTCCTAAATTGCTTAATTTTTAACACTAAGTCAAATGATGGGACATGTTTGCGACTCCAAGCAAGCCAAGTTCTTTTAAGGTGATTTGCATCACCTAAATTAATTCAAGAGGGTCACAAGTACAACTTTAAATCTATTTGAATGCTAAAGAAATAGTAAGGGATAAATCCTAGTAACATAACCACAACAAGTGGGATCATCAGACCGCATAATTCATCAACCATATAGAAGTTGATGCAATCTCCACTTGTAAGTGGGTCTTCACCGGTCTTTCCTTTTGCTGCAAATCCTTAGTTTCAGGGCATTTCTTTGCACTGGTTTGAAAATGTGGCTGCTGCATTTCTGAGAAAACAGTGGCAATATGGTAAATAAAGCATCCAGTGACAGAAATCATCCTAGAAACCTACCAAGTCTCCTTCTGGAGAGATAGAATACGTAGGAACACTGCTAATGCCTTGCTGCTACAAGAGTTAAGAAATACGCGGTGCCTTAAGGACAGAAATAATTCTTCTGTAGTTATTTCAGGGTCCTCGCAAGGAATGGAGGACCAAGATAATCTGAACAGGCTGTTTCAGCAGGAAGGCAGGTCTCCTGCACGACAAGGAGCAGAGTAACATTCTAATGTTCACTTTTTGAGGAGGGATCTTGATGTGCAAAGCAAGATGTCTCTGTGAGAATAATTTTACATTCTTTTTACATTCTTTCTCGGAGCTACCCCAAAGTATACAATGTGTGTATGTGTGTCGTTCTAGTTCTGCATTCCTTTTCCATCAGCTATTCTGAGGAAAAATGGTCAACGCTTTCAGCCCAAATGTCAAAGGACAAAAGGCTTATACGGATGGAAAAAAGTATTTCCAGGAAAAAAAACCGAACAATAATCTGCTAAACGGAAACTGCTCTTCCGATAGTTGTTAAATTGCTCTATAGAAATGGTGGCGCCTAATGGAATTTTGTAACAACAAACCATCAGCTAGGCCAGGGGTCAGCAACCCGTGGCTCTGGAGCCGCATGTGGCTCTTTCATCCCTCTGCTGCGGCTCCCTGTCACCGGTCAGCTCCACAATTGATAGGGCTTTCGGTTAGGACAGGTAGAGGAAAAAGGATGCCGCACTAGGAGGAGACTCTATGGTGGGGGAACAGGACTTCCGGTCGGCTCCAGAATTGAACTTCCGGTTAGGACCTTTGCGGCTCTTTGAGTGTGTAAGGTTGCCGACCTCTGAGCTATGCTCTTTCTTCAGGTGATATTCCTGGTCTTAATCAAATTATTTCGGAATGCACGAAGCTTGCCCCCAATCCTGAACCTTAGCCAAGGAATCCCCATGGTTCTCTTAACAAGAACTTTAGCAGGTTCCTGAGGGATTATTAATAAGTATTAAGATTAGCCAGTAGGCAAAGGTTAGTTTACATGAACAAATGAGATAATGGCCTGATTGGACAGGTAGCAGCTGTTTTATTGCTTTCACTTATTACAAGTGTTTCCATTTTCCTTTGATTTCCCCCCCCCATTTGGGGCCAGGAAAAAGAGATGCTCTTCTCCCAGTGCCCGATCTACACAAGTAAAAGAGGCCACTTTGGTGTGCTCAGAAACTGAAATGTGAGGTTGCTACTTTTTCGCCCATTAAAATGATACTTTCCCATTTCAAATTATAGCTTTTTTCTCATCTGTCTCCCAAAGGAGGAAAACCATGAGGACAAAGAGATTAAGCCAATCCACATCTGGCCTATTGTGACAATATTCGCTAGAGAACTTTTTGGGAAAAGTCACATCCTTGTTTTGATCCGTACGTGGTGGCTCAAATGAGATTTAATGAACGGGGAAGAAAAATAAGTTGGTGTTGTAGTATATTTTCATCCTAGGTTGGATTTCCATGGGCATTTCCATCTTCCCTCAAATTCTTTCTTCTTTCAGGATGGATGTCTTGGGTTTCCAAGATATCATTTAAGTAACATTGCCTCACCTTGATCTCTAGATACCATCATTTGCCATGGGGGAGATTCGAATAACCCATCTCCTTGGACTCATTTTCCTAATCGTTCAACAACTTTCCATTGTGCTTTTCAGATAAAGCTGTTGTTTCTGGGCTGTAATGTTACCTCTTCCATCTGGAGGCACGTCAAAATATTCTCTTTTCTGGAAAAAAAAAAGAGAACACATTGTAAATAATCATTTGTGAACTGGATGCTTAAAAAAATATTCTCTCTTTTTATTTCTAGACTTGTGGTTCTGATTTGCCACTAACAAAATATAACTACAGATGTGAATATTGCTTGTTGCTCATTCCCAATAACACACCACAGTTGCATACCGTGTTTCTCAGAAAATAAGACCCTGTCTTATTTTTTTTGAACTCTGAAATAAGTGCTTGGCCTTATTCTCAGGAAGGTCTTATTATTTTGGGGCACGTGGAGCAAGACGGGGCTCCTCTTGCCGTCCTACCTGATTTCCAGCTCTGTCTCCCTAACCCTAACCAGAAATTGTTGGGGCGCATGTGTTTAAATCGGGGAGGGCTTATTTTTTTGGAGGAGCCGCTTATTTTAGCGCATCTGCTCAAAAGTGCAATTGGGCTTATTATCAGGGGATGTCTTATTTTTGGGAAAACAGGGTATTTATTTCCTTCATTTCTTCATTTGGGAACAAGCCACATTGAATTTCAGTTTGTCATTCTTCTGAGTGGATTGGATATGACAGAATTTAAATTTGAGCTATTATTTTTAATCTACCTTAGCCTATTTTATCACTTCTCTCTCCTAGCTTCCTAATGGTATTAAAAATGGCTAGACATAATGCATGAAAGGTAAAGCAAAGTTAAAACTATCAGCCTACCTGCCTGTTGTTTTATGAACATACTCTACGTGGTTTACAGAACAGATTTAAAAGAGGTTAAAATAAAGAAACAAGATTCAATCAAACACATGGTACCCAGTAGGGAAGGGTAGCTAACAAACACAGCCCCCACCAGCTACCAGTAAGGGCCAATTGATACTCCAGGCCCCAAGGTCTGTAATCTGGAAACCATGAGAGAAAGTCTGGAAGAGGTTAGACTGGAAAGTTAAAATCCATCCATCCATCCATCCCACCCATCCATCCATTCATCCATCCATCCGGCAAAACTATTTCCATATTATAATTTTCCAAAACTACATAGATGTATCTTTGAAGTTACCAGAAGGTAACTCTAGAGCCTCTCTAGGAGTCTCTGGAGGCTGGGGACAGCAAAAAATGTCACTTTCTGTCCAACTGGAAGTTGAGAAACGGGCTGTTTTGGGCCTTCGAGGGGGTGGGGAAAGCTGTTTCTGCCCTCCCCAGATGCATAGAGAGGATCTGGAGCCAGGTGAGAAAGAAAAACAGGCCTTCCCCATCCACCCCCAGGCCCTTCAGAGGCAGGAAACAGCCTGTTTCCCTATTTCTGGTGGGCCCAGAAGGCTCAAAAATCAGCTGGCTGAGGCGCGCATGCACGCCGGAGCTGAGCTGGCGTGCCCACTGATATGGCTACAAGGTGGCATGCGTGCCATAGGTTCGCCATCACGGCTCTAGTGTGATAAACAAACAAACCTAACTGTACTTTGGCTAGACTTTTCCTAAAATGATATTAGTCCTGGGTCTTGAATTTGCAGGACAAAATATATGTTCTTCCACAAAAACAGTGTTATAGCCCAGAAGTATTGGTTAGATTGAGATAGACCGAGGCTGTGTCCCTTTATGTCAACAAGTTTGGCACTCTGCTTAATTAAAAAGTGCATATTACAAAATGAATACCAACTGACCTCAAATTATCTGCTCATCTGAATGCAGAAGGAAGTATTCTTTTAGCATTTTTAGTAATTTTATGCCAAATATAAAGTGCACTCTGAGAAACTAATTAAACCAGAGCATTTTGGAAAAAGGAGCAGTGGCTTTAAGACTTAGGTTGTTTTGTGTGAAAAAGATGGATAAGTAAGGGGGTGCTTATTAATATATCAAACTGAGGCTTAAATGTTAATCAAGAGATTTGCTTTGAAGGGAAGGCTGTAACAATTACTTCAACTGTTTCCTTTTCTAACAGTATGGAAAGGCAAGATCTTTTGTGAACTGCAGCTTAATTTTTTTGGATACATAGGTAGGTGATGGTGAACCTATGTCCGTGATGGCGAACTTATGGCATGTGTGCCAGAGGTGGCATGCAGTACCTTCTCTGTGGGCACTTGAGCCGTTGCCCCAGTTCAGTTCTGCCGTGCATGTGGGCATGCCTCCTGCCAGCCAACTGGTCTTCAGGTCTCTGCTGCGCATGCTTGGGGGGCGTGGGTGTGCGTGGGGCTGCATGTACATGTCTGGGGAGGTGGGGCCATGTGTGGGGCTGGGGGCACATGTGTGGGGGTGAGGCGCATATGCAGGGGGCATGCGCGCATTGCATTTTGGGGTTTCTGGTTTGTGTGCACTTTGGGCACTTGGTCTGGAAAAGGTTAGCCATCACTGACCTATGACATGCCATTTCTGCTGAAATGCGGGGTCTTCAAAAATTGTGAGAATGCTTGCATGATTTTTGGAGGCTCCAGAGCAGGACTTTCTTACACAACATCCAGAGCATCTGGAGGCTTCTGTGGACCCTCTGAATGTCGTGCTAGAGAGTCGTGCCCTTGCAGAGCCTCTGGAGCCTCCAAAAATTGCACAAGAACATGGGGCATCTTGTGTGACTTCTAGATGATCCCAACAAGAGAGTCTAGAGATGCCTCTTTTGTATGGTGTGGTGTGTGTGTGTGTGTGTATGTGTGTGTGTGTGTGTGTGAGAGAGAGAGAGAGAGACCAGCAAAGAAAAGATAGGCGTTTTCTGAATTTTTGACACGCTGAGCCCAAAAGGCTCACCATAACTAGTCTAGGCCCTCTCTGCCTAGACAAATGCAAAATATTTTCAAATGCATTATTTTATTTATAAATGTTTTCAAATGCAAAGTAGATGTAGGAAGCATCCCCAGGGTCAGCCATAAAGATCTTAAATACCAATACAGTAACAATAAAAGTTTAGGGAACAAACAGGGTGAATTCAAAGTACTACTGTGTACTGAATTATTACAGGCTACCTTGACGAAGGGTAAGAGCTCAGCCTAGTTGTCCTGCTGGTAATTCATGTAAGAGTGGGGGTATTGCTTTACTATGTCATTTGTACTTTCACAGCCTCCCTTCGTCTTGGGGTGATGGGAAAAACTTAGGCCCTGGGAGATGCCTAAGAAGATCTTCAGAAACTCTTGCCAAAACTTCAATGTAAATTGGACGCGATAATCAGAAATTATGCATTGAAGTGCTGCATGCAAATGATACACATTTTGCATGAATAGTTTTGCTAGGAATTGTTTTCAAGTGAGGAGAGCCCAGCAAACTGTGTAAGTTTTCTTCTCCCAGATTGCCCTGTACTCTTCTGCCTTGGAAACTTAGCATGAGGTGTATGCACAGGTTTGTAGCTTCCCTTACGAGTTTGTTTGGAGGAGCATTGCCTCCACTGCCACACCACTGGTATCTGCCTGAATGACAAACAGTATGACATCACCAAAAGGGACAATTGCACTCAATAATTACAGACAGGTCCTACAGCTCTTTCCTCATCAGCTAATCAGTTGATGTTCTTCAGGTTTTCTGAAGGACTCCCTGTGGAAAGTATAGGGCACCTGAACTTAGGCACAACCTGAACTTAGCTTCTCCATTGAGTGCGCCAGGAACTCCAGAATGATAAATCAACAAAAACATATTTTTCTCCCACTTGTGTCATTGACCACTTATATCTAAAGGACTTTGAAAAAGCAATTCTTTTCACAACTTGAAGCAAGTAGGAAACTTACACCCCAAAGTGTATATAAAATGACCAGGCTGATTTGCACACTTCATTTGCATTTATATATTTAAATTAAGGATGGCCATCACTGGCTGCTTCCTCTTTTCATATGTAAAGTGAAAATGAAATTAACCAGTTCAGCTGTCTCTGAAGAGTTTTTGAAAGCCAAGGACTGAATGACTAATGTTCTCCTTTTGAAATTCAGTGGTTGTTGGGTGTCTCTGAAGATGGCTGGGCTGGTTTCCAGGTTTACTATCAAATTAAAACAAAACAAAATAGAGCAAAGCAACAGCTTTTAAACAACTCACAGATTTATTATAATTGAACATCAGATGTTTAGTTGCCTCAAAAAATATAATGGAAAGTGACGTATCAGCTACATGGTGCTAAGAGCGCCTTTGAATTTGGTTTGAATTTGGTTTAGCAGAATGGGAGATGATGTTTTAATTAGTCTTCATGAAATTTGTTATTGCCAGAGGCTGTCTGCCCCCCCACCCCAAAATGCACATTTGTGCACTAAATCTGTTGTGCCAGAGGGTTTGCAAAAGGCATTTGCTGCAAAGATAATTTTTAGATGGGAAGCTGCTGGTGTTAAAATGATTCTATTTTTTGGTATGACGGCTTTAGATTTACATGTTTAAACAAAGAGGAGATTCTCAGTTATACAACTTAAAAACACATTAAAAGGAGTTGGGCTTTACTTCTCCAAAGAAATGCAAAGTGTCGTTTTAGAAGCTATAGGTTTTCTGTCCACTACAGTCGTACAATAAAACATACCAACTATGTGTTCTGAAATGCTCCTTTCCCAACTAACAAATGTAATTAAAAGGGATTAGCTTTTATTAAAAAGCTGCAAAAATGTACGCAGCTTATATCTATGTTAGTGCTCCAGACGCCTCATTTTTTTATCACCATAGACACAACTTTCCTACAATAACTTTGACAATCTTTTAAACGAACACAATCAAAGATGTGTGACTTATTTAATTATTAATTTTTTAAAATGTTGCTCCTCTCCCGTACAAGGTGATTCCGGATTTATCCTATTCAACATTCTGAAATTCTAGTAAAATGGATTTTTCAGAACTTTCTATCTCTAATTAACCTCTAATAATCCAAAAACCTCTGGATGCAGACATGGTAACTCTAACTTCAGGCCCCAACTTCATCATTCTGAATGATGAAGTATGCCCGGGCAGGGCAAAGCCAGAGGAAACGCTGGTGGGGGACTGTAGCGGTGCTGACATGGAAATCAGTCGTCCGATCTGGGTATAGGGCAGTGGTGAAATCCATTTTTTTTCCTACCAGTTCTGTGGGCGTGGCTTGGTGG